AGAGTGCAGAGTGCAGAGTGCAGAGTGCAGAGTGCAGAGTGCAGAGTGCAGAGAGCAGAGTGCAGAGGGCAGAATTCTGAGGGCAGAGTGCGAGTGCATAGTGCAGAAGACTTAATATAGCCTAGAGATTTTAATATTTTTAGAGTTTCAGATCGTCTTTGTGGTAACCCTGCAGTCTAATTATGTACTTTGCTTGTCTGCTTGTTTGCTTGTTTTTTTGTGTCCAATAAACTTCCAAACGGCTAAACCTGAACCTGAACGGCTCAAATTTTTTGCGGGAAGATTAATTAATTTTAAAAATTTGTCTCCAAAAATTGTGGACTTCTAGAAGTATGAAAATCCACAAAAAATTAAACACTAAATCCTGGAATTTGTCTGTTACATATATGATGTTCACGTTTTCCTTGTAACTTAATAATTATGGGTAATATTTCTTGAGGCCATGATTTCTTGATTTTATAAAAAGTTTAGTTAAATTCGATTATTTGCAATACCGACCAGAAAGAAACCTCCCATTACCTCCCCCCCCCCCCCCCCGACCTCTTCTTTTCCTCCATTTTGGAATTAGTTTTTTCCCTGTCATAAATGTTGGTATTGGAAACCTTGATGTAATAATAAAATATCAGGAAACCCTCACTGCCAAATTACTTTTATCTAGAAAAATCTATTTAGATATATAGAGCTGCAGCAGGGGGGTTTGTATGTAATAAATGCAACTTCAAAGCGTGGAATTTTTTTCCACGGATTTTGCCACCAAATAATGAAATTTCGCAATTTCTCGCAAACAGTGACGGGGGGGGGAAGGCAAAGTAAAATTTTGAGGGGCTGGAGCTGTACAAGAAATTTTTTTTGTTAAAGGGTTGGGTCTGTGGCCTGTGCTTAGTAATATACCAAATTTTTATAATATCCATGGCTTGTTCTTGTGTTTAAAAAAATATACTCCCAAGAGCTTTAAAATGAACGACATTAATAAATGAAACATGTGCGCAAAGCGCCAAAAATTTTTTGTTCTTCTGGTGCCTTTTCATGCATTTCTTAGTGTTTGTTAGTCCCTGGCTTAGTCATATTCACTATGTATATAAAGTCCCCTATTACAGTCTACATAATTTTTTTTTGTAATTCATCCACTAGTCATATTTGTCCACTATATAGTTCCTTAATCGTAGGTCAGTGCAGTCATAAGTAGAAAGTAGTTCCTGGCAGTGCTTGACTACATTTCGTTTTTCCATTATCCAAAATAGTCTTTCTGATCGAAGTCCCTCTGTCCTTGTTTGCCAGTAAGGGGCTTACCCTGTCTTCCTCTTATAGTCTGCAAAAGTCCTAATAGTCCGATATAATCCTTTTATTTCTTCTTATTCTTGTTCTTATTCAGGTTTTGTGTAACCTTAAATGGTATATGTTTTGTAATACTCATGAGAAGTAATAAGTACATACATGCTTTTTAGAGAAGATAAATTAAGAATGACTGACTTTCTTTAAGTCGAAAACGAAAAAAATAGTTAATCATTCAATTAGAAATTATGCGCGAAGCGCCAAAGAAAAATTTGGTATTTTTTCTTCATTGAATAAATCTGATAAAAGATGGTCCACGCTCATGATCATGCTGGAGTCAAGTGAGATGGGGGCGAGAGGGGGCGATATTTTTTTAAAGAGGGGGGCGAAACTCGGTTCGCCTCCCCCCCCTAGTTGCGCCACTGCTCGCAAATGATAAAGGTTTTTGTTTCATCAAGTAAACTCATGAGTTATGTTTATTGATCTTCTTTGAACAAACTCTTGAAGAAAAAATCTTTAAACGATCGCTTAATGCTGGTTTCTTGAAATCTGCACCAAAGATTAGGCTTTCTTCCCCCTCCCTGTGGTTTTTTTTTAAATAACTGTAAAAATTTGCAAAGAGAAATTTCTTTTTGATGCAAAGGGTAGGGTGGAGACTGGAGGATAGTCAAACGGTGGGTCGATGTTTCAAAAAATCAGAAATGGTTAATAACTTTTTTATCAATTAAGCAACATGGCTAGACTTTCTATTTTTGAAAAGCCCTTAAAAAATTGATTTAACATAATGTGTCATTTGGGAATATTAGTCAGAAATATTAGTCAGAAATATTAGTCAGAAATATTAGTCAGAAATAAAATTATTTATTTGAAAACTTTTCAGACTTTTTGAACTGTTTTGAAATCCTTTTTTTGCACCAAAGAGGTGTAATTTTTATAAATGAGCATGCCTTGAAAAATTGAATTAGATATATGAATCACATTCCCCTATCTCAACACAAAGGACAAATTCATGGGGGATGGACCCCCCCCCACTCCCCCGCCAACCTCAATCTATATTAGAAAAAATAGACCAATCTGAGGGGGGGGGGGGGGGGGGTAAGCCAAGTTTGATAAATGTACTTAATACTTTTGTACGATTATCTTTGCTAACTATTTCAACTTTATATTGAAATCTGTATTCATTTGCAAATATTCTTTAATATCAAAACCACAAAAATATCATCTTTCCCAACAGCTCTGTGCAATCTTTTCATTATACACTTTTTAAAAAATTCAGTTTTTTGTTTAATAGATAAAAAATAACTTAATTTTTTTGGCAAATAATGATGGATACGTTAAAAAGACAAACTAAAACTGACTTTTTAAAAAACACCCTTAAAAATTTAAATTATAAGATTTCGTCATATTCTTAAATATTAAGAAAGATTGATTGCTCAGTATGTTCAAAACCGAAGTCTGAGATGGACTATCGTTTCAATTTACTGTACAATTTACTTTGAATATGTACAATGTACAAGTATTTTTGTTAAAGAAATATGGTTTCAAACAATTAGGTTACACATAATTTACTGAAGACGATTCTACCAAATGTTTTTAAACAAATTTAAATTCAAATTTCTTTTTTTCTTTTTTCTTATCCACCTGTGAGAGGTTGATTGGGCCAGGTCAATGAAAAAATGATGAAATTTTTCATTTAAAAAAAAAAAAAATTCTAGAATTTATTCTTAAAAATTTACTGGCTGCAAGAGCAAGCGCCTTTTAAAACTTCTATTTTTAAACCCATTAATACCGACCAGATCCCCTGTCCACAGAATTACATGAAAATTCAAGAACAGCTTCCTATTTGGTCTTTAAGAAATTTATGTTTCCAAACTTTTTTGCTAAAATGTATAGCATTGTGCAGCATTCAGTCTACAGTTTGGAGTGTGCAATGTTCAGTGAACAGCGTGCAGTAACAAATTCTAAAATTTATTTTACATAAGTTTTTAACAATACTTAAAAACATAGAATTTGAACGTGGGTTGGGGTTTCCTACGGGTATTTTGTGAATCTGACATGATTTCCTGGGTCAAACTGAAAAATATTGATCCAGGTGCCATCGGGGCCTGCAGGCAGACAAAATTTAAAGCTGTATTCATTTGCAGAAAGAATATGAAAGGTCTAGCATTATTTAGTTTTAAAACTACAGTTCATCTACCCCCCCCCCCTGAATAAAATATATCATCACGGTCATTTTTTGGAGAATAGTTTCAAATCTAAGCAGCTAAATCTTAAACAGCAATTGTTTGTTAATCCAATTTTCTATAATAGCTTGTGCTTTGTAGAAATAAAACTTGAAATCACGAAAACAAAGATAATAATGGGTAAAAAAGCTTCGATTAGTTGACAAAAAAAAACCTGATAATTATATCATGGTTGTCAGTTTTCAGATAAATATTTGAATGATGATGAAAGGATATCTTGAACGAGTAAACCTAACAGTAAACTGTTTACCATTCTGCTCATACTATTTTCTTCTGAATCTAGGTAGGGGGTTTAGTTTTAGATGGTAATAACGAAATTTTGTTGAAACCCTATTTTCCGGCTTTATAGAGTTACCGTTAATTAACGATCTTTTATTTTATTACAGATTCACAAAAAACTTTTGTTAACGGTTTAGGAGATCGTTTCGGCTGTGACACAGAAGACGACATTCAAAAACATCATAACTTTTACAAGTTTAATACAATTTCAAGCAGTAAAATAAATTCACGGTTTAAAAACAAATTTCAACACTTAATTTTTTTTCAAAACGGCTAATCTGTTTCGTTAACGACTTAAAAATTAACGCTTTTTGCTGTTCGTTAACGGACTGTTCCGTTTATTATCGAACACCTCCGTTTCGTCAACGGAACTTTGTCCAGTCCTACAGCTGAAAATGCGTAAAATATGATGTCTTTCCGTCTTTTCAGGAGTGGGTTTGGTGTTCAGATACATGAATTTGTTTGCCCGGAGTATAGGGTTAAGTATGCTGGATATAGGTTTAATTTTGGGCTTAAATACAATACTTAGTCTTCCTGCCAATCCTTTAGCAGGTAAACATATTGGTATTTTTTGCATTTCCTGTCTTAACATTGATCATTTTAGCTTTTTTCTGTAGGATATATTAGTGATAAAATTGGTTATCGGTTGGTGCTTGTATTTGCTTTAATTGGAAACATTGCCATTGCTTTATCGATGTTTTTGATTCCACCATATTCTTCTTATGCAAAAGTCAGGTAAAAGAAAAAGAAAAGAAAAAAAAGAAAAAACTGCGCAAAAAGTTGGAAACACTAAATGTGGGAAAATCACAAATTGAATTTTAAATGAGTCGGAAGTAAGAATTAATGAATATCTACAAATAGTTGAACAAGGTATAAAAAATTGAACACTTGAGTGGACAAGAAAAGTAGTTCAGCTATTTTTAACTAGTTCAGTTCATCTTCGCTGCTCATTCACTCCATTTTATTTCTTAATATTACTTGTAATTTTAGTACTATCGGTTTAATCGCATTTCCACAAAAAAACGTGTACACTTCCACATGGTGCCTTACTTATACAGTAACATCTCATAGAAATATTATCTAATAATTTTATTGTATTTGATCCTATACCCTCTTTCATTTTTGACGAACACTCCCTTTAAGGATTGGACTAGAAAATGATGCTACTCCGGTTTGGATGTTTGAGTATGTTAACGATACTGAGTGTCTGGTTGAGCCGGAACTGAATATTACAACTCTAAAGTGCGGTGATGATGTACTTCCTGTAAATATTACGATCGATACATCACTAGCTGACGTCTACCAGGGATATTGCAATCTGACAAGTGTAAGTTTTTTGATCTTATAGGCACTAGGCTTTCAATTGTGAACATTGTATGCATTGTAAAGCAATAGTAAAAAAGTTCGCGAATTTTATAAAAAAAATCGTGGATTTTCTAAATTTAATACAAACTTAGCAAAATACTGTTCAAAAGTTAAACATTTTTAAATATTATTTGGAATAATTAGGTTTATTTTCATCAATATATCTTCCCTGTATTTTAATCAGTTTTTACAAACAAAAATAAATAGCTTAAGATAATTAAGACCATATATTTTTTGTTAAAAATATTAGTTTGTAAATGAATTGTAGACACCATGAGAAAATATTAGTAATGGCTTTTGTAAATATATTTTAAGATATATTTTTTCAACCGAAAGATATCGTATTCATTATTAATTAAAAAATTACTTGACGAGTAGTTTTGATTTTCACATTAAAATGTATTATGATCCTAGCCTTTTTTTCTTGATATCATTTCACAGCTTCTATCAGAAATAGAGTATGTTTATTAAAAATAAGAATTTTTCTTTATCTTATTCTTTTTAGAAAAACTATTGTTCGTATGAATTAGAAAGCTTTCTTGTGTTGAATGAAACAGTTCGTGAATGTGAAGTATTAAATGGTGAAAGCTATGTCTCAGGATCCTACATAATTGTATTTTGGTGTTACTTCCTGCTGAAAACCTTGTACACATTCTTGATCAACGTTATGTACAATACCAGTGATGCTCTGGGTTCATGTATTGCAAAGCTGGAGAAAGGAAAATATTCATCTATGGTTTTCTTTGCTGATATAGCGATGGCTCTTGCTCCGCTTATTACAGGTCAAGCTAAAACAAGAAAAAAACCGGCAAAAATGACATTTTTATCCATTGGTCATTTAGATCATTGTATCATTGTAAAAATTGTTAATTCTTACGGATACAGTGTTAAAAAGAAAACTCTGAAATAGGAAGACGACTTTAGGAATCAAGTAATTACTTAAAATATTCCAATGAGCCACAGACACAGCAATTTTGCAGTGTAACCAGACCCATTTTATCAAATTAGTGATTTAAAAAGTGTCTAGTAAAACTATTTGCTTTGTGACAACATCAAATACACGCAAGTACTTTTATAATGTCGTCTTCCTATTCTATTGTTTTCTGGTTATAACTGTATTAATTTAAAAACCCATAAAATTTCGCATTCCAAAAAGTCATTTTTTAAGCATTTTTAAGCTACTGGATAACCTGATGTTAATAAATGAATTAGTTTAGGTCCACTACTGGATAACGATATGTTATAAATAAATTAGTTTAGGTCTTCTACTGGAAAACGTGATGTTAATAAATAAATTATTTTAGGTCTTCTACTGGATAACATAATGTTAATAAATGAATTAGTTTAGGTCCACTACTGGATACCATGATGTTAATAGACAAATTCGTCTAGGTCCACTACTGGATAACATGATGTTAATAGATAAATTAGTTTAGGTCCACTACTGGACAACGTGATGTTAATAAATAAATTAGTATAGGTCCACTACTGGATAACATGATGTTAATAGATAAATTAGTTTAGGTCCACTACTGGACAACGTGATGTTAATAAATATATTAGTTTAGGTCCACCACAGGATAGCATGATGTTCATAAATATATTAGTTTAGGTCCACTACAGGAAAGCATGATGTTCATAAATTTATTAGTTTAGGTCCACTACAGGATAGCATGATGTTAATAAATATATTAGTTTAGGTCCACTACAGGAAAGCATGATGTTAATAAATATATTAGGTTAGGTCCACTACAGGATAGCATGATGTTAATAAATAAATTGGTCTAGTTCTTCTACTGGATAACATGATGTTAATAAATAAATTAGTATAGGTCCACTACTGGACAACGTGATGTTAATAGATAAATTAGTTTAGGTCCACTACTGGATAACCTAATGTTAATAAATAAATTAGCTTAGGTCCCCTAAAGGATAGCATGATGTTAATAAGTATATTAGTTTAGGTCCACTACAGGAAAGCATGATGTTCATAAATATATTAGTTTAGGTCCACTACAGGATAGCATGATGTTCATAAATATATTAGTTTAGGTCCACTACAGGATAGCATGATGTTAATAAATAAATTGGTCTAGTTCTTCTACTGGATAACATGATGTTAATAAATAAATTAGTATAGGTCCACTACTGGATAACATGATGTTAATAAATAAATTAGTTTAGGACCACTACTGGATAACCTGATGTTAATAAATAAATTAATTTAGGTCCACTACTGGATAATGTATCGAGATTTGAGACGGAGTATGATTGTAGAACAGGGGTGGAGATGGGCAAATTTTTTTTCAACGAACGACATTTTTCGTGGAAAATTGTGTCTAGAAACAATACGACATAAAATCGATTTTGAAAAAACGATCATTTTTATTACGAACAAACGAACTTTCCATAAATGTTAAAAAAAACTAACCAAAAAACTGAACTAACGATTTTTTAGAACAAATTTTTGAAAAAAACTATTGTCTTTTACTGAACAAACGATTTTATTGAACGAGCGATTTTACTGAACGATCGGTCAGTGAAAAAAAGAACGAATAGTTAAAAATAAATGATAAATTTGAGAACAAACGAAATCATTTTTAACGATTAAATAAAAAACGTACAAATGGGTCGTTTATGAACAAAATGAAAAAAGTCTAACGTACCCATCTCTGCAGGGGAGGAGGTTAAAAATCCTGACTATTTGGTGACTTACCTTCTCTCTTCTGCAGTTCTACTTCTTGCTGTCTTTAATATTTACTTTATTAAACCAGTAGTTTACAAGAATGAGAAGAAGCTAACTTTACGACAAGAGTTGTCTTGGTAATATTTATTTACCTTAATAAAAAAAAACACTTTGCTCTTGGCTTTCAAATTTTTCAATATTATCAAACATATATTTTTATTCTAATATACACATTAATTTTATAGATTTCGGAGAAAATTTTACATGTTGTCACTTTTTCTTTCAAATTATTAAATAAACAGCGGCTAACAGAAAACTAAAGCAATATTAAATTGTATTTTGATGTTGTTACAAAGAAAGTATTTTTACAAATAAAGTTATCAAATCTAGTAATAACTTAAATGGGTCTGCTGACACTTACAATTGCTGTGTCTCATGTAGGGTTTCTAACACACATGGATTTTACTTGCGCGCAATTGCGTGCCCTGTAATTTCCATAGTTATCCTGCGCAATTCCGAATTCCACTCAATCCCGCACTATTCCGCGCAATACGAGAAAAGTTCCGCGCAATTTCGCACCGTTGTGCAAAATTCTGCACAATTTCGCATAACGGAATTCCGATTGGAAACCCCATGGTCTCATGTTCAAATCTTGAGTCTAAGAGTCATCTTGTATTCCTGAGTTCTATTTGCTAGCAAATCGTTTTGCGAAATTTTCGCATTTTTCGCATTCTGATCCAGGAAAAAAAAATTTCGAAAATCAGAGAAAAAACGAAAACTTTTGCAATTTTGCGGAAAATTTATGTTTTCCAAGAAATTTTTGACGCTGAGTTTCGCACTTTTTTTCGATAGTTTTCGTTCGCTTGAAACCTTACTGGTTACCATCTTATTTTCTTAGGATTGTAATACTTCGGATAATTACTGTTTAAAAAACGAATTATGAAACTGTGCAAAAAAAAACAAGCGAAAGGCAAATAGAATTCCATTGTTTTCTGGTCATTACTGCACAAAATATGAAAATTCCTTTTATTCATTTTAAAACTATTTTATTATTGACAGTCTTTAAAATCTTCCCGCGTTTTTTCGGTTGCATAAAAAAGTTAAGAATATTGCGCGGCATAATTATCAGATTATCGCGCAACTGGCAATATATCAGCACAAAACAGCAAACTGAAAACCAAATTTTGTTGTTCATTTTATTTTTCCACTATTGTTTTATAGGTTATGGAATTATTCTGCATTCATTTTCTTTTTACTGAGTATATCTGCTGGGATGCTATGGGGAGCTATTGATACATTTTTTTTTGTATTTTTGAATGAAACACTAGGAGCATCTTTAACATTAATTGGTAAGTATAAAGGAATTGAGTCTGTGCCACAAACTCAAATTTTCTAATCCCAATATCTTTGAATTATTTCTCCTAGCAGAATTCAAAGTTTGAAATATCTAAGGTTCACAACATCAGATTGTAAAGTTATAGTGATTATTAAATTCGAGTTTGCTGCATAAACTCAATTCCTATAGCATTTGCAAATAAGAAAAAGAACTTTTTTTATAATCTTTTTTGTTTAGGGCAGATTGATTCTGTAACCTGTGTATTTTCTGCACTTTTATCTCTTCCTATAGGTTTTATACAAAATAAGGTAGGATTTTGATCACAGAAATACCAAAAAAAAACGATCAATGGAGAAAATAATTTAATGATTATTAAAAAAACAATTTATTTCAGATTGCAAACGCCAACATGGTTGCAATTGCTATTATCGTAAAGTGCATTGCTATGTTTCTCTGGAGTATTACAACGTAATAAACTTTTTAGCTTTTTTAAAACGTTTAACAAAAATTTAATGTTAATTTTCCTTTATTAGGCAATCACCGCCAATTATATTCTTTGGTTATGCTTTTATATCTACCGGACAAATGCAGGTCATTGTTTTAATGTGTAACCAATTAAAGATAAAGCACTTTTTAGCTACAGGGTGTCCCACGAAACATGACAGTTGGTAAATAGTTTTAAATGTCTTCTTCCATATACTGTATAAGATATTAAAGACTTTTTGCAGTTAATTTCGTTTAACAAAATTTTTACTCAAATATACTTTATTTTATTATCAATTTTACTACAATATGACGATCATGTGATATTTTTTATAATTCTCTTTGTCATCAAACAACCTAACAAATCATGGAAGAAGACATTTAAAATTAATCATCAACTGTCAAGTTTCCTGGGACAGCCATCACGTTAATTATTGGTACAGCACAGGTAAAATATTACCTACTTTTATTCCTTTAAGATTTAACGACTGAATTCCATAATTACATGTCTTTATTTAATTCTAATTCTTTAATCTATTCAAAGGTGGATTTGAAGAACGTTTTTTTTGTAATTTTATTTGATATTGTTGTCATGCAAATTATTTTACAAGTAGTTTAAAAATCGACCTAAAACGGATCTGTATGAACACTGCACAAAAAGTGTGTTTCGTGTTTTTTTATAAATAATCAACTTGAGTCTTTCGGTCGTCTTCTTTTGTATATGTTTCCTTGGAACAATTTCCAAAATCTTCTAAAATCATACCAAAAATTAAAAAATTTGAAAAATTCAAAAATGAATGTTTTTGAAATATTTTGATATTAGTGGGTAGGTACAATCGGGTATATGAGAGAAATAGCTCCTGAAAATCTGGTTGGAACTGCCATTGGAGTAATTTCAACCTGTAACTTTATAATCGGTAAACACTAATGAAAATACGTAATATTAATCTATATGAGGGGTTTCTGATTTAAGTGGTTCTTATTTTTTCTATTAATTTTTTTATACAACTATAGTTTAAACGTGTTTAAACCCAAAATAAATTAATTTTTAAAAAAAATTTAAGAAAACTTGCATAAAGTCTGTTTTATTTTATTTTATATATATATATAAAGTTTTAATCTCTGTTTGTCTGTTTTTTGTCCGATCATAACTCGGGAACCCCTTGATTGATTTATTCAAAATTTTGATTGGGGAACTTGGGAAAACCACGGGAATGTTCTTAGCTTGGTTTAGAGATTCTAAGTTGAGTGCAGGTTGACTTTAATAGCGTAAATATAGTTTACCAGTAAAATCGTTCAAGTGCGGGTAAACGACAGGAGTAATTCTTAATAACCTTGGCAGCGCTGGGTTCCCAAGCTGGTATTTGCTAAAATCAACATAGCCCGCTGTTAAGATTAACAAAATCAAACAGGTTGCAGGAAAATCTTCCAATGTCGTTACCTCCTTTTCCTTTAACATTTTAAGTGGATGTTTAGTTATTGTTAAAATACGCAAAAAAAAGTGTATCATTATTATATATTCTATTTATAATTGCATTAATTTTTTTCTCTAAACCGTCAAAAACATTTAAAATAAATGGATAAATTGACCAAAGTTTTGGGGATCAGTAATCAAAATCAGTTAATCTGATTCGTCCATCAATAAAAAGTGTAAACCTCTGGTTATTATAGGTAAAGGAATAGGAGGTTTTCTAGCGGGTGTACTGGAAGAATGGCTCGGAGTTAGAGTTATGTTTCAGATATTCTCTGCAGGCATTGGTACGTAGGTTTAATGTTTATTTCAGTCCAGGGGAAGAAAGTTCCAAACAGAGTTTATGTTCAGGTGTGGACACAATTATTATGATCAACGTTTACGTCACTCTTCTGGTCCCGAGATATATCAATAAAAAAAACCATTTTTCAACATATTATTAAGCACAACGAAAACTACAAATTACATTATTTACTTCTTTTTTAAAATTTAAACTGTGAGTGATCATTCATTTTCATGTATTCGAATTCCGAACGCTTTTTGGAACATTAACCAAATTTCCAACCAATCCATAAGTAGAAAATCCTCTTATCTATTCACCAATGTGTTTCCACATTTTACTTCTAAATACTGAGTAGACAGATGATTTCACTTTTCCTCTATTAAAAAATCTTCGCATTTTTCTATTCAATAAAAAACACGGCGGGGGGTTTAAAGGTGCCCCCCCCCCCCTGTGGGTTAAATTGATTTAAAATCAAGCCTTTGCCTTTAATTCATGTTTTTAGAAACACCCTTAAGTTATGGTGTTTTTATTAAGATCAATGTATTGTTTAGGTGGAGAAGCAGTTCTGTATTTGGTCCTATATAATACAGTGTTTAGGCGGAGTAGCAGTTCTGTATTTGGTACTATAATACAGTGTTTAGGCGGAGTAGCAGTTCTGTATTTGGTCCTATATAATACAGTGTTTAAGTGGAGTAGCAGTTCTGTATTTGGTCCTATAATACATTGTTCAGGTGGAGTAGCAGTTCTGTATTTGGTCCTATATAATACAGTGTTTAGGTGGAGTAGCAGTTCTGTATTTGGTCCTATATAATACAGTGTTTAGGTGGAGTAGCAGTTCTGTATTTGATCCTATATAATACAGTCCTCAAGTTATCAGAGCAAAAAAATTCAAATATGAAGGAAATTGAATAACATGACAAAACATTTAATTACAGTGGTCGGCGTTTATATCATTGAGTCTGAGGTCTACGACATTGTGTTGCTAAGATATAGATTAGAAAATCAGAATTTGTGGCAAAGACTCAATTCCTTTCAAACTTTCGCGCGGGAAAATTGGAACAGTTTCAAAAGAGTTTTAACCCCTTGGTGAAGTTTCCTAAAAGGTGCCAGTTTCAAAATATGGGACATTTCTGAAATATAAACGGCTAAACTTTTAAGTTTTTGCTTGACAACACATCAAAAACTGAATAATAACATTCAATGCTTGATCTTCATAAAGTAATTCTGATTATCTTTTAGGCATTCTTCTAAAATCTGCCCTTTTCTAAATTTGCAAACATGTATGCTCATGGATTATTTAACTTTAAAGGCTGAGGAAACAGGAAACAGAATGAGCAAACAGGAATTGGAAGCCAAGATGGAAAGTTATTTAGAGGAGGAGAATGTGAAAACAAATTCAGGAAAGGCCTCTTTTAGTTTTTAAGAAATTAGTTTCAAACTTAATTTTTAATTAAGCTTGAAAAAATATTTTAAGAGAGATTTTAACGATGTCTTTCTTTTCAGGGCAAGATAACGTAGGATTTGAATTTAGTACTTCTTTATGATTTTTGTAACCATTTTTTGCTGAAAATATATTTATTTGGAACCCATCCCATGTATATGTGTCAATAAAAGCCAAATTAACTATATGAATACGAACGTATAACGGAACTGAATATTTTCCTCAAAATTATAGTTTTTTATTTAAAATTTTTGCAATCTGATGTTGGATATTTTATTTAATAAACCTTGACTGTGAGTATCGATCTAGTAGAATTCTTAAATTGAAATGTTTAAGATCCACGATTTCCATAAAAACATGTGAAGTACTCTGTTCCGTTATTTGAATAACAAAATATCAATATAGTTTAAATTATACAGAGTGTCCCAAAAAGCATGGGAATTCAGAGACGAATTGGATATCGTCTTTGTTATGAATTAGCATTGTAATTTCTAATTTCAAAAGCCATAATACTATTATGTTTGCTAGAGTTTATTTTATGAAAAGGGTAAAAGACTGTAAAGATGTGTCTATAATGTCTCCGCAAGATGAACAGTTGTGAACCATATCCCTCAAATTTCCCCTGTTGTAAAGGTCGTCTCCGACAAACTGTACCTCCGTTGAATATACTCCGTCCACTCACCAAACCAAACCTTGCCAAGAATTTTGCATAAACGTAAACAACAGCCGCATGGAGCTAATAAAACTTTAAGTGCATTAAAAGAACCCATTTAAACATAATTTCAGTGAATCATTTGCAATCAAATAGTGAACTTATTTAATCAGACGAATATTTATTTTCAGAAGAATTAAATTTGCTTTAGACTTCAGTTCATACAACTTTTCGACCCAACACAGTTTTCTAGATTGTAAGTTCCATTCACAACAGTACCTTTTAAACCTTTTATTATTCAGTTCACAACAGTGCCTTTAAACCCTTTATTTATCAATTTACAACAGCAAAAAAAATATGATCCCCAATCCTGCTAAACCCACTAAACCTAAAATCTCCAATCCTACTAAACCTACAAAACCTAGAATTCCAATACTCATTTATTGATAATAAAAAAACCTTCAACTGTTTAATCTTTATTAACAATTATTATTTATATGCATGTACGCCAATAACAATTTGTATTTTGTAGGAAACCTCGTTACTGAAATACACATTTTCAAGAAGTTCTCATCTATCTGTGTATGGTCGGAGAGAGTGTTTCCCTAACCTATTTGCCTTGGATTTGTCATTCTTCGAGTTACATATCCGCTGCCTCAGTACATCCCGCTTCGAGCAATTTACCTTTTTGATCGGCTCACAACAGTGAAGACGGACAAGTTTACTCTGTTTGTATACTGCAATTTTCTTGTTTTGCTAAGTACAACCGTTTGCAGTAAAAACATAAGCAAACAAAATGTGAACATAGCAGACGAAACTCTTACAGATTACAGCTTTCTCAGTAGATATCACTATACTAAATCAAAGAATTATTTATAAAGACGATATCGAATTCGTCACTGAATTCCCATGTTTATTGGGACACCCTGTATATAAAAAGTTTATTTGGATGTTGAATTTTGACAAATCCGTTTTTATCCATTTCCTAAAATATGTAAAGCCATACTAATTTTACTATAAATAAGCTTATGCAAGAATTCAAGTTAGGTCAGTTGTTGATTTTCTTTGTCTAACTTCTTGATATGAATTTACATCATTTTCTCATTTCCACTCTGTCGTTTTTAGACTTTATCACGTGTTTTTAATTAACTGTAAAATTTTATATTGTCTGGTAGTTCCCCGGCAGAGGCGGTTTAAAGGTTGAGGGAGATGTCCCCTCTGGAAAACTTGGGGGACATCTCCCCCCTTTGAAAAATCATATCACAAAAAGAGAGACAAGGCACCTTCTAGCCCTTTAATTTTGATTTTTAAGAACAATTTTTCCCTGCGGCGCCACATCTTCAATCAGATTTTCTATAAAAAACCAGGGGGATGGGGGAATTTTTCGTCGCGTAATACAAATGTTTAGTCCCCTATGTAAATTATCATAAGCCGCTTCCACATACCAGGTTTCTTCTATTTAAAATCAACCATGTGTTGGGAGTGGGGGGGGGGGGGGGGGGGAGTGCAGAAGTCCTTGATTGGTAATCACCGCCACCCAAACGTGTTTTGCAGTATGTGTTGGAATTATTCTTTAAACTTACGTATTACTTCTTAGTTTAAAACGTGAATGCCAACAAAAAAGTTCAGAAGGAAATAGGCGACAAAAATAGGGTTAATTGCGCAAATTATTATCGAAAGTCAAAGTATAAAGGGTATATTTTATTGAATTTTTTTCAATGTGTTAATTTCGTTAGGCTTTAATCGCTGAATCTCCCCCCCCCCCCAAGAGGATCTAAATGCTTAATTTTACCCCACATAATGGTTATGTTATACGTTTTGTATGGCTAAGCGCGCGTTTGAAATATATTTATTATCAATATTAAGTCAACACTATTTTTGGTGGATTCCGGGTGAGATCAATGCTTGGTTCTGTTACAGACGGATTTAACTACTTCTAAGTTTTGAGCGTAATGGATTCGGTTTTTTAGTTCCTTAGATATGAATCTACTGTCTACACAAAAGTGATAATAATATTGACAAAAAGCTTTCTGCTTTCAAAACACACATTTAGTTTAGTGTTAACCTACAAGATATTTATTGAAATAAAGTTTCAGTACAATACAAAGAGAAACAAAAAGTTGAAACTTCTGGATTTTGTTGTAATAGACAGAAATTTTCTTAAGTCGGATAAATTTTTGTTTAAGACACGTCAAGGATTTGGATCAGCATACGAAACCAATCCAAGCACTGGATTCACGTCTAATATATTAGATACATCGATGCTGCTTCTTTTTAATATGAAGATGTTTCAGTACACATTCAGACGGAATTGAGCCTTTACCACAAACTCAGATTTTCTAATCATCATATCTTGGCAACCTGATGGTGTAAACCGATAATATTTCCAACTATTTATTATTTGATCCAACACAACGCATGTCTAAGGTTGCAAAGATAAAGGATCTAAAAAACCAGTGTTGGTGAAAAAGAAAAGAAAAGTATTAAATCAATTATATGTATTTCAGGAGAAGACACTTTAAGAAATACAATAAGTAAATGCCCATTGGTAAATTTTCGATACGCATATTTAATCTAATTTACAATACAGATTTGAATGCAATCATATTCTTAGTAGATATATGATATGGACCTAATACTTTAACCGAACTTGAACTAGGGATGAATGACAAAAAAATAAACATGTCAAAAATTATTAACATAATGAGGATTTCTCAAGTTTACAGCATATGTACGAAAAATTTACAAATCTTAAAGTTGACAGAAATAACAAATAAATGTTTCTAAAATCTACACCAGAAGGAACATTTCACATGTTTTATAATTGTGTAGATTGTAGACGGAAAATCAGGAAAAATTGAAAAAGATCTTTTTTTTTGGCGCGAATTTGAACCTTTTGATTTTAGGTCGAGCAATTTTACATTTCTGAACATAATTAGAAGAAATGAAAAAAATAAGTATTCAAGCGATAAATAGCAATATAGTTTGGTATAAACATACTTTTTTTCAATGAAAATATCGATAAGCGTCATAAATTCTCTGATGTATAAACATCTTAAGTGTACTTTCAGCAATTTTGTAGAACTGTTAAAATTTGACAATTTTCAGTAATTGATCTATTTTGCCTTTTACATGAAAAATTTAATTTTGTTAAAAGCAAGTTTAATAGATTCGATCAGAATTGATCTTTTTTGGTTTTAACTTTTCATAAAATACTGAACAATTAGTCGTAGGTGACAATGTACGATGTTTAATATGTACATAAGTTCTTAGTATTAACATGTACTGGTAAACACTATGTACCCGTTAACATCATGTACATTGCACATTTTTCATAGTACATTGTACAACAAGAACCACGTGTCACTATTAATTTTAGTTTTCTTCAGCTCCTGCCTTATCCAGACTTCCCAAATGTTTCAAACAGACGTCTAGTTCTGTCGACAGTGGTGAGATTTTCTTTAACTTTTCCCGAATTTCATGTCGCTGGACCGCGCTGAAATTTCCATATTTGAGTGCGTTTAGGCATGCGCTAGCCAGGGTCTTGAAGCAGGCTTTTCGGGTCCCGTTATGCGAGGGATTATCCCATACTGGCGTAGCCTAAAATCATACAAAGTTATTTCTTATCTTTTTTTTGGAATGCGATTTCAGTTTTAAGGGAAACAGAAAAATTTTTGATTTTTGATTACTAAAGAAGGATTGACTTCTTGCTACATTTCTACAAACTTTGCAGCCTGAAGGGTACTTTGATATTTCAAGCTGTAACTACATCATTTAGTTTCAAAGATTAAAATTAAACTTAGATCAGAGTCTAAAACTAAAGAACGAAAAGTTGACTTAAATTTTAAGTTCATGGTTAAATGCCACTTCAGGCTTAATTTAAACCTGAACTTTAACCGTGAGGTTAAATATTTAACCCTGTGGTTAAATATTTAACTCGCCGAAATCGACGAGTTAAAATTTAAACACAGGGTTAAAATCTTGAAATCTTGCATTTTCCCTATTGTCTATTATTCAATCATCATTCAGCTGAAAAAGTGGCATTTAACTTTACGATATATTTAAAAGTGAAAACCTTGTTAAAGAAAATTCACGTTTTAGATAAATTAATTTTTGCATGTAAACCCAAAAAACGGTTGTAACTCGAAATATAATATGTTTTGTTTTCGGTTACGTTATCAGCTGATTAGCGATGGTTATGTAATATTCTCCGTAAATCCTTTTCTCTGATTGGTTCAGATTTTCCCCGGGAAATTCAAATTAAAAATTGAGAAAGTTTAATATTTAAGTAGCTATCATTATTTTACAGAACTTTTAACCTCGAACTTAAAATTCGCGCATTCTTTAGTTTTAGACTCAGGTTGCAAAGATATGATGTTTATAAAAATTAGAGTTTAAGGAGAGCCATTAGTTCCATATTTTACCTGGACATACCCCCAGGCCATGATTGTATACTCAACCAGAGCAATCCACTGCTCCCCGGCCAACAGCTGTTTCACACCCTCACTCAACACTCGTCTAATTCATATATTTAGGTATCAATCAATAAATCAATCCAATCAATAAGCAATCAATCAATCAACTGCTCACCCGCCAACAGCTGCTTCCCACCCTCACATTGATTATTTTACCTGAAGGAAGTTAGGTGAACTCCTACTCTGTTAAACGCCATAGAATCAGTTTTAGATTCTAGTCTGCTATTCGGTAGGGACTAAAAATAATAATAAAAATAATAATAAGAGTAACATAGCTTCTAGCTTCGAAAACTTTTCTCTCTCAATTGATACGGGTTTTAAATCAGGTTTATAATATATTCTCCTGTATCATTACCTTATAAATATTCTTCTTATGCAGGTTGAGCTGTTCCTCTAGTACTGAGATATCTGGAGTTGGAAGGAGATGGGTCACACACTCTCTTATATCTGGGTTAACCTAGATATATATAAACTCTAGTATAGATATATCTGGAGATGGGACACACACTCTTTTTTAGCTGGGTTAACCTAGATATATATAGTAAGTAATAAGTAAGTAATTATATATTTATGAAATATAACAAAACCATACAAAATAAAGTGTTTCAGGAGAAAATATTTTCAAAACTCTAAAAATAGAGGTTGTGGGAATATTTCCCACCAATTCTAAAATAATATAAAAAAATAGAAATTAAAGGAAAAGGAAAAGGAAAGGAAAGTTACATATTTGTTGTTTACATTATATTTAATAAAACTGGTGGTTGATTGTTAGTATTTTTCGACGATGAACTAACAACTTTTAGAAATAAATATGATAGAATGTTAAATTTATTTTTTTAAATAGGCTTTATGGGTTGTGAAAAAGATATAGGTTCTACGCAAAACGGGCATTTTTTACTATCTTTTTAATGTGTTCCGATTTTAGACATCCTTTAATTGTTTGATTATGTAAAAGATTTGGTTTTTTTCTCTTTTCTTCCTTGTTTTATCATAATTGTTTTCTAATTTTAGATTTTTGTTTAGGTTTATATGTTCAGGAAACTAGTTACAGACGCAGTTCTTGTTTTCTTATTAAGAACCAGTTTTAATTTACTTTAAGGGTCACTTAGGAATTTTAATTCGATTCTAGTTGATTAACCTACCCTGATTAGTGAATATATCTTGCACAAGTAGAACTAGTTAATTAACTAATTAATTAGTGAATATATCTTGCACAAGTAGAACTAGTTAATTAACTAATTAATTAGTGAATATATCTTGCACTAGTAGAACTAGTTAATTAACTAATTAATTAGTAAATATATCTTGCACTAGTAGAACTAGTTGATCAACCTACCCTGAGTTTATGTTGAACTAGTTGAACTAGTTGATTAACCTACCCTGAGTATATCTTGAACTAGTTGAACTAGTTGATTAACCTACCCTGAGTATATCTTGAACTAGTTGAACTAGTTGATTATTCTACCCTAACAATATATTGCACTTGTAGAACTAGTTGATTAACCTATCCTGAATATATCTTGAACTAGTTGAACTAGATAATTATCCCACCCTAACTATATCTTGCACTTGTAGAACTAGTTGATTAACCTACTCTGAGTATATCTTGAACTAGTAACTAGTTGAACTAGTTGATGAACCTACCCTGAGTATATCTTGAACTAGTTCAACTAGATGACTAACCTACCCTAAGTATATCTTGAACTAGTTGAACTAGATAATTATCCCACCCTAACTATATCTTGCACTTGTAGAACTAGTTGATTAACCTACTCTGAGTATATCTTGAACTAGTAACTAGTTGAACTAGATGATTAACCTACCCTGAGTATATCTTGAACTAGTTGAACTAGTTGAACTAGTTGATCCACCTACCCTGAGTATATCTTAACTAGTTGAACTAGTTGATTAACCTACCCTGAGTATATCTTGAACTAGTTGAACTAGTTGATTAACCTACCCTAAGTATATCTTGAACTAGTTGAACTAGTTGATTAACATACCCTGAGTATATCTTAACTAGTTTAACTAGTTGATTAAGCTACCCTAAGTATATCTTGAAGTAGTTGAAATAGTTAATCATCCTACCCTGAGTATATCTTGAACTAGTTGAACTAGATGATTAACCTACCCTGAGTTTATCTTGAACTAGTTGAACTAGATGATTAACCTACCCTGAGTATATCTTGAACTAGTTGATTAACCTACCCTGAGTATATCTTGAACTAGTTGAACTAGTTGAGGTCTAGATAATCCTTGAACAGATACACTTGGATCAACTACTGAATCATCGTCCAGTCTAATCTGAAAATGGTTTTATAATATAAAAAAAATAAAGTTTGTTTAAATGTTTAATCTACTTTTTTTCGGAAAGATGGAAGATATTAATTGTGCTCTTTATAAAAATATTAAACTTCTGGCATTTCAGACAAGAACATAAGTTTTGTACCCCCACTCCATTCCTATCAGCTGTATACATACAACCCTGAGCAGAATTTAAAAAATATAAATTTGATTTGTGGTTCTTAACCTTATGAGAAATATTTTACATTAAGATCCTGAAAGTTGATCCTTCCTCATAAAATTTTCCATAAGTTTACAGAAACAGTTAGGTAAGGGAATATACACCCCTGAACACCTATTGTAGAAAACTTACTCTTTTTGCCAGAGGACTGATAGGGGTTATATCTGGGGGTAGAACGTACATCTGTGGAGAGGGTGGATTATCAGATAACGTTAATCTTTTCCTAAAATATGATTATAAGATAATTATAAAAATAATTTAAAAAAGAATATTTACAAGCAGATATGCTTCAAAAAATATGAACGTTTTGAAATCATAATTTAAATATCTATTTAATTATAAATACTTCTCAAAATGCAAAATAGCAACTTTGACGGAAAAAATAAGTTTCAAAATAGATTAAAAAGGATTTAAACGATTCAGTAAAAACTAAATATATTGCAAACTTTTTAAGCATTCAAATTTAAAATGTGAAATCGTTTGAAATCTAAAAACTGAAAAAACGGATTAACTAACAAACAATGATTGTTTAACCAACGTTTTGATAAACACGCCTCTAAACCAAAAATGATGAAGGTTTAGAAATTCGACCCCCCCCCCCCCTTCTTCAGCATACCTTGGAGACAGTCTGATGTTAGGAAGGGATAGCCTTGAGTTAGCTCCCTGAATATTGGATAGTTTTGCTCTCTGCATCTGTTGTCTTAATGGAGTCACGTCGGGAGAAAATGTTAACGGAACCTTAAAATAAACAAATTTTTTATTTTTTTGGAACTGATATTTACACTTTTCAAAATTACATTCCCCCCGGTGTGGTGTCCTTTCTGGGTAAACGTTAAATAATGGTAGTAGACTCTACGCAGCAAATTTTCCGCGGCATTCGTGCAAAATTCTGTGAATGTAAACAGTAAATTAAGTGTAAGTATTTCTCATATTTGAGAATCAATCAAGTTTTGCTGAGCGATTGACAATAAAAATCAATTGTTTTAACATTAGGGATCGATATTACAGCTTAAAGTTTACGTTAATTAATTGTTAAGGATACTTGCAACTAATGAGAGTTTAATGTATAGTTAATTACTCCTGTACTCACATTATATATCAGCATATAGTGTATATTTTTAAGTGTATAAATATAATTTCTAATTCTGAAATTTCAGATAAAATACCAGATTTCTGTTGTGCACATTGCCGTATACTGCAAAAATATGCGCGGATGCCGCGGAAAATTTTGCTGAGTAGAGTCTACTATCATTATTTAACGCTTACGCAGAAATAACGCCACACCGGGAAAAATTACTTGGGTGAAGGGAATAAAAGTGAAAATTTCACCCTCTTTAACACCTTTATACAGAATTGTATATTTTTCTGAAAAATTATTTCTATTTAAAATTATTTTTTTCCCCCGGGGAGAAAAGTTTAAAAAACTCCAATTAAAGTTTTTTAAAAATTGAATTTATTACCAAAATTGATTCTGAGCAAAACTGAAGTAGTCGGCGATTATGCTTTTACAAAAAGGCGACTTCTCTAAGAAAATATGGATTTCTGGTTCAAAGTTTTTTTCTTCCATAGTCATGATCATTGTATTGATATTTACGACGGCAACTGGCATATAAAGTGAATACAGATGATAAATAATAAATGAATGAAACCTGTCTTCTGCCCCTAGCTTGAATAACAGCTTCGTCTGGTGACGGTGTATGTCCATCCTGTAATCTATTCTCAGAACCCTGAAGCATAATTGTTTTGTAAACATAAACAAGATTCCCTGCTCTGTTTGTCAAGCATCGTTTACTAGATCCAAGAAATATTAGAACAAAATGAAAAAGTTTATCAAAAGTTAGTTTTCTTATTATTTGTGAAATAATTTTCCCCACTTTAGCAATGATAGGTCTATAAATAAGTTTTNATGGGACATTTCAAAGAAAATATACAACCCTGCCTGTGGGGTCCTGCAGCAAACACATATGAATAGTTCAAATTCAGATGGTAAATTGTTTTGCGGGATGTTTTATTTAAAACTAAACTTAATACAGGGGAAGAAAGTTCCAACCCGTGTTTATGTTCCAAACCTGACACTCAGTGCCAGGTTTTGGCACAACTGTTATGATCAACGTTTTAGTAACTCTTCTTGTCCGGAGAGGAAACCTCAATTAAAAAAACTATTTCCAACATATTATTAAGCATGACGTTAACTACAAATATCATTATTTACTTCTCTTCAAAAATTGAAATGTGAGTGATCATTCATTTTCAAGTCAAACCCATACAACTTTCAAAACATATCAAGGTTTTCCATTTTCGCACATATCACGAACATAATTTCCAAACAATCCATACTTTGGAAATGTTCAACAATTCAGAGAAAAACGCACTTCAATAATTTACAGAATAGCATGAATCGCTGAAAATATTTTTATCTACTAAATTATTCTATTTTTGTTTTGCAAATTATACTTTTAGTTAAATACAGCCGATATCAAGTTTCCTCCATTTTCAATTAAAAATGACCTGCATTTTTTCTGTTCAATTAAATTTTAAGAACAATTTGTTGTTCAAATTATAATTTTTCAACGTTTTACGTAGTTTTATTTTGAAATATCAGACGGAATATATAATTTACATTTTTATTGTTTCATTATTTAAATTCTACTGTATACGAAAATTTGCTTTGTTACCAAATTGTGTAAATGCTGGAAAGCATCATTGATTCAAATGGGTGAAATTTCTTAAAATCGCGATATGATCCAAAACATGTTTTGCGCCCAAACTTAGTATTTGCTTCAAAAATGTGACATGTTCTAAACTAATATCAATAATTATCAAAAATTGAAATTTATCTATTTTGAGGGTTTAGTATTTAAATGTTTGATATACAAATGTAGCCTTAAATATTCTAAATTAAAATATGCGGGTTGTTTTAAATTGACATTTTCTAATTTATCTTATAACTAACATAAAAAAATGTTTTTTGGGACGTACAATATTCTAAATAAAATTAAAGTTGTTGAATATAAGAAGGGTAATCTACATTTTTAAATGCTAAACAGATGTTAAATTTAAAGAAAAATAAGTTATTACATTCTAAATTTCAATACACGCAGAAAATTGTAAAGTTCCTCAACAGTGTACATGGTTTATTTTGTTTTAAAAAGATTAAATAATTACACATTGTTATTAAAATCTCTGTCAATTTATAAGGTACAAAATGGATGCCAAAATTTTGTAAATCTAAAAGATTTCGTTAATACTGTTTTTTAGGAATAATACTATATATTGTGTTTACTTTAAATGCCACGTTGAATAAAACTATATTTAGTGAACCATTTAGAAAATTAGAAATTATATTTATATCTATTATTTGTCGATCTATCATTAGTTAACAATTTAGATTTGTGTTTTGAGCAGTACTTTTGGATCCATTTAATTTTGATGCGGATCCGGTTTCTAGATTCGCAATCGAAACAAATGGATCCGGATCTAGATTAATTCTTTATATTTACTGATTTTTTTAACAGAGCAGAATTTTAAAATATTTTGTTTTAATTTTTTTACTAATTTTTATGCTAAAACTTGATGAACTATTCAAAGAACAGGACATTTTTTATAAACTCTCTGAATAGTTCAGATTTGAGTTTTGAGAGTAAATATTTTTCTGAACTTTTTGGTTGATATTTTACCCCTTGGATCTGCATATATTTATGGATCCGGAAATCTTGCGGATCAAACGGTTCCAGATCCTTAGGACTGGTTTGGAGAGATTTTTTTATGGCTTTGGTTCATATTTTACCCCTTGGGTCAGGACCCGGATCAAGAAAGCCAAAAATACGGATCCAAGAGATCCGGGCCCTCCGGACTGCTGCAAATGTGTATCTTACCGAAACATTGTTATCCCTAAGAATTGGAGGAGTATGAGTATGGTTTGGATTCGGCCTCAGCACCTAGAAGTAAAAAATATGTTTCTCCACCTCTCACGTAATAATTTCAGCTCTAAGAGGAAAATATATATTTTTTAAATCGTTAATTTTCCAAATTTTAGTAAAACAAATGATTTGTTAGTGCTCCGTGCAAACATTTTTCGAGAATTTTCCAAAATTGTAATCCCGAACCATAACATTTCCTAGGAATTTTGTCTGCACACACAACATTTAATTTGATCCTATCTATCATCATTAGAATTAATATCCGATATAAGTCTGATATATGTTTTTTCATTGATTGACTTATTAATTAAGGCTTCTGTCAAATATTTTTTCTTCACTTAAAACTAATATTTCTTGAAAAATACTAAATGTTTAAGGAAAAAGTTGAATAAACCAAAAAATGTTAATATTTATCAAAGATTGATCACAGAATACAAAGTTTGATGGCTGCACAAACCATCGAACAGTGATTAATCAGGAAACAAGAGAAACTAATTGAATTTCTAAACCAAAGGAGGGAGAGGGGGGGGCGGCTGGATAAATTTGAAGCCAAAACAGACAAAGGAGCCGAGTCAAGGGTAAATAATTTTAGAGAGATTTAGGGAGAAAAATTGATAAATTAGACATGAAAAGTCTCGTTTTTCCTTCATAATTTTTTCCTTTAAATTCAAGATTATATTCATTTCCCCCAACTCGGCGAATAAATGGGCATGAGACCATGATTTTTCAGAATAATAAACATCTCTCGGCCGAGCAAGACGGCTAGAATAGTCTAGAGGATTTGGGTCAAAAAGCGTTTTTCGGAAAGCATTAAATCATTATGAATCTCTGTTCTAGGGAACCCCCCCTCCTATTGCTTTTGCACACTCCAATATAATTTTTCAACTCATTCCCCAATTTATACTTTTTATTATTTTAAGACAATGTCTGGACCGAGCACCGCGGCTAGGCCACATCCAAGTTTAAACATGTGTAACATAAGATCTCTATAGATCCAAGGTAGGGGGGGGGGGGGGAGATCAAACCCCCCTTATCAGATAAACTTCATATGCTCATCTTAGGTAGTGGGGGGGGGGGGAGATCAAAAAGCGTTCTCTAGGAAATGACCAGCATAATAGTCCAATGATGTCCTCGATTGAACACCTGGTTGTCCTGGTTCTGAAGAAGATTGTTCCCCATCTCCCTGAGATTAAATATTCCAGATACTCGCCGCTCATTCAGATCCTAAACAACATTAAAAGGTGTGTGTGAGAAAAAAGAAGGGATTTCTTATTATCAATTTAATGGTTCTTTTGAAGTAACCCATCAGACCTCCCCCCACCCCCCGTTTCATGCACGGAAACTTTACTATGGGGTCCTATCCCTGTAACTCATCACGTGTACTCCATCGACCACTATCTAAATATAAATTTGGCTTGTCTGTTTGTCTGTCTGTCTGTTTGTATCCAATAAACGTCAAAACGGCTGAACCGATCGGGCCCAAATTTTTTGTGAGACATCTAGGGACCCCAGGGAAGGTTTATGAATGATCAAAATTTTAAATATTTGTCTCCATCAAAATTCGATCGTCATTAAATTTTTTAAAATTTTGAAAATCCACGAAATTATTTGTGAAAATCTGCGATTTATTTTTGTTTTGTTTTACGATGTACACAAAGAGAACATGTTCACAATTAATTTAGAAGATGGGCGCGAAGCGCCTTCTAAGGCTAGTCATTTTAAAAATTCCTTTAAGTTGTTATTAATAAATTCCAATTTTTTTCCAAATGTGTAAAAAACTAAATATTTACTTGCAGAGTTCTCGTCGTCTGCCGAGTAGTTGGGGACTGTGGAGAAAATAGCCTAAATAATCCTGGCTCGTCCATGTGTAAAATTTGTACTCTGAAATATTAAACATAGCAAGTCAATCATACAGCTGCCGACAAAATTTTTGAGGGCCGTGGAATCATTAAAAATGAAGAATGGGTAACTTCCTGATGTACGATTTTTGGACCCCCCCCCTTCCCCTCTCCTTTCAATTTTGTACATGGATCTTATATGTAAGACATGGATATAATTGACCATGTGGCCGCAGCTCCCGGCCACACACTAGGACGGACCCGACGAATGAACAAGGCCTGATAACAATATTCATAAATTGTTTATTTTCAAGCAGAAATCTTCATCTTACATTTTTAAATGTAACACTTAACTTTCTGGCGGGTTTTTTCCTGTTCGAGGCTCGAGCTCTGATAGAGTACTGCGCTAAGCGATCAGCTGATCTTGAACAGGGATAAATATACTTTGTACTTTAATTCTCGATTTTATAATCTTGCAATCAATTCACATTGTTTGCAAAAATATTTATTAAAATGTTATTTTTTCGATAGCCCTTTTTAGATTAAAGGGACACTGACATTGAAGTTAATAATCGTCTTTGAAATTTTGAGTAAAAATAAGTCTTATCTTTCTTGTCTCACTCTCCCATGATTTGAACCAATTATTAATAGAAATTGTAAAATAGAATGCAATATTGGTTGAAATTATACATATATATATATATGCCTCAGGGATACTTAAATGAGATACAAATTAATTTAAAGATTATTAAAAAAAGCATTAAAAGATGCAAGACGACATTTTAGTCCGTCTGAACTTATTATTCGTAAAAACTTTTTATTTAGAGTATTGATAGTAATGTTTACAATGGCCTTTAGCCTTGAGAATTGAGAAAGATAAAAATATTCTTTTTAAAACTAACTATAGTATAATAAAATTTCTACAATAACTCTATTGGTTTTCTTATTCCTGTGATACTGATTTTCGCCATTCTTTCTTTCTTTTCATTCTGGAGGGGGGGGGTGGCGCCCCCCCTCTCAGGTGCTAGGGGAGGGCGCGCGCCCGGCCGCCCCCTCCCCAGTTGCGCCTCTGCAAATGATTGATTTATATTACGTTTAAATGAACAATTGTCAGCCCTTTAGAAGATTAAGCGAGTCCGCTCTCAAATTTATATTTGATTCAGCTCTTTTACCAAAAGGGGGTTTCTGTTATTTCTGTTCATTAAAAGAAATTAATTCCCGAAAATATAGCATTCGATGCTTTAGAGCGACACGATATTTTGCAAATTGTTTCTTGACTGAACTGAATCAATTTCAAGATACAGGGTAACCCACATCATACAGGGTGTCCCAAAAAAACATGGGAATTCAGTGACGAATTCGATATCGTCTTTTTAAATAATTCTTTGATTTAGTATAGTGATACCTACTGAGAAAGCCGTAATCTTTAAGAGTTTCGTCTGCTATGTTCACAATTTGTTTGTTTATGTTTTGACTGCATACAGTTGTACTTAGTAAAACAAGAAAATTGCAGTATACAAACAGAGTAAACTTGTCCGTCTTCACTGACATTATTATAGACTCATCTTTACAGTCTTTAACCCTTTTCATAAAATAAACTCTAGCAGACATAATAATATTATGGCTTTTGAAAATAGAAATTACAATGCTAATTCATAACAAAGACGATATCCAATTTGTCACTGAATTCCCATGTTTTTTGGGACACCCTGTACTAGATCGCTTTTAGCTCTAAATTATGTGTTCAGAGACTTTTCAGAAAATTGGATCATTATAAAATACAGATAAGGTTTACGTTCTGAAGCCAGTAGCTGCTTTTTGCTTCGCGCAGAATCTTAAAATATCGCCGGCTTTCTTTTGAGCTACCTTTTGTAAATACATGATACTTCGACTCCTAATTGGGGAGGGGTTAAAAACTCTACTGCAAAAAAAGGCAATCAGAGCGGTTAATAATAGTACCAAGGCACATTCAAATCCATTATTTTCAAAACTGAAAGTTCTTAATCTTGATGATACATACAACTTAGTGTTCTGATATTTATGCATGAATACTTTAATGATAACCTTCCCTCTTCCTTCCAAAATATGTTCATGTCTTGAGCTGAACCGAATAGAACAAAATCATATAAATTAGAACGGGTTTTAAACAATAATTTAGAAGGCTTTCCTAAATTGTAGAATGAAATTTAATTTGACCTTAAAGAAACTGAATCTGCAAAAATGTTCAAACAGAGTAATCAATATTTATCTTGACAATTATGAGAGGTTTAAATGCGAAGAACCTAGCTGTATATCGTGTGAATAAATTTTATATAAAACCAAAATAACTGAAACTTTATAAGCTTATTTCTGTTTATGTAGCTGCCGTTGTTAACATCCTGTATTTTAATTTATCAATACATAAAAATCCCTCTGTTCTCACCCTGCCACAGATCACCTGACAATCTCCTTCCTTCCAATCAACTCCTTACCATGTCTTGATATGTGTAACCAATTATATTCAGTACTGTTAATTAACTTCGGGCCAACCACTCAAAACAACCATCCCTGGTTAGGCGGGTCCAAACTGCATAGTAAATTGTGATTGCTTATTTGTAATATCTCATGCTTTCTAGTTGAAGAAAAATATGAATATGAATAATAATTTAATCCATTGACTGGTTTACTTAATAAGACACAGATTTGGAGAAGAACAGACAATTTTCTTCATTTATCCTTCATATTCTTATTCATTTTCATATTAATAACATACTTCACAGAGAACTTGAAGGAGGGAAAGGTAAATACGACACTAGTAGAGGTTCTAAAGGGAGTGTTCGCGAAAAACGAAAGAGAGAACAGACTAACTCTTAAAATGTAGGTTTCGATCGCTACTAAGTTTGCGTCTAAAAGGAGAAAATTGTTTAACACAAAGAATGCTCATTTTTGGCGAAAGCTCCCTTTTAAAACCCTTATCTCTACCAACTACATCCGACTGAAAAAAATGACAACTATTTTAAAATTTAATGAAATCACAGAATATTTGGCGCAAACTAAATGAGTTAAAATGCCACATAATAATGCGAGTTTGTGCCGGGCTGAGTGTTATTCATCACTCTTCTATACATTTCATTCGAAGCACACGAGTCCAAATGAAACGCTGGTTAAGAACTACGGAAATTTCGGAAAATTTTCGTAGAATAGGTTTCATTTAGACCCTTGTCACAATTTCACAAATAATTTCATTGACAATTTCTTAATTTCTCCAATTCACTCAAAAAAAGTATTGGGTTTAACATCTTGCCATATTGTCTAAATTCTAATTACCCCCCCCCCCCGGAAATAAGTAGAAATAACCATCTAACACACCAAAAGTACACAATTTAGACTTTAAATTGACTAAAATGATATTTACAACGAAATAACAAATAAATATGAAAAATTCCAAACTTTGGTTAATTTTTTAATTTCCGCAAAATCATGAATAAATGAACACAAACTTTTAAACTTAAGAGAAAATCCCCGAAGTGACGAAAAATCCAACTCAGAATGAATCTTTACATATTAAATGATAAAACTGAGGAACCAACATAAATTAATAATTTTGCCAAAACACTGATAATTTCTAGAATTCTTATACAGTCTAAAAAAGACAGGTGAAAAGAAATTAACTTTTTCCTGTGTTTTTGAAACAGTATTGTCATTTTACAGAAAGATTAAAGAATAAAGAAAGTTCACTAAATTTTTTTTTACATTTCCACACATTGCCTAGTACACTTTTATGCTAGAATAGAACGGTTAGATTAGATATTTATATTAATTTTATCTCATCGATGATTTCACTATTTTATATGGTTTTCATGACCACACGTTCAACTTGGGAGCGGTCATATTTTCAGCATTTATATCTGCATGCCCGGGAAATTGGGACGCACTGTACGTTTCTTGACCAGCTTTGTAAAGTGACGCGTCCAGCGCATGCGCATTTACAGCTGCGTTCTGCGCATGCGTGTGCCGAGATCGAGTAAAAGATTGACTGCGTAGAAGTCTATCACTGTCAGAATTAGTTAAAGGTGGGAAGGAGGAGTCCACGAGGGCACTTTGAACCCCACGAGTGGGTCGACGAACCCCCTGCCCCCCTAGCTCGGGTTTGGGTTGACCGACACGTCATTTTGACCTGCCGGCCTTCTTCTTGATCCGCCGCTTAAAGAAGCAACAACATTTTGTCTCACCCTCCTGCAATAAAATTAAGGTTGAATTAAATTAAAAAAGATTATATGAATTATTTGCCGTTATTTACATTCAGGAGATTAAGAGTCCACAGCTCACAGGATGTAAACCAATTTCTCTCTCATTTTCTCAAAACTTTAAAGTTTCATTTTTTCCCCCAGGGATGTTATTTTCTCAAAAAATCATTGTCCCCCCCCCCAATTTTTAGAAAATATTTTTTACCCCCAGAAGTTATTCAATATAAATTCTTACACGGACAATGATTTTAGAGTTTAATGTACTGCATTATGGAAAATCAGTAATTTTTAGTGGAAAATCATCAATAGATTTGTGGGTAAGGGGAGTAAGGGAGTATTAAAACAAAGAAAAAAGTTTCCTCATAAATCTCTAAAAATAATTCCCCCCCCCCCCATATATAGGGGAGGGGATTCTGAAAATAATCAAACCCTGCATTTTGATCATATGTGTATTTTACCTGCTCTTGATCATTGGTGTTGGTGATTGGAGCATTTGACCGGTCTTGTGTTGCCCCCTCGTCATCACGTGATAGGTTTGTTGAACCACGTACAACCTAAAAATAATAATTTTGTCTCCTAGCTGGAAAAAAAGACCATGACACGAATATATCGTCGTTATTTAATTAATTCTTAATATTCCCTCCGTAGTTCTTGTAGCATAAATCCGTTAGTCACGATTGAAGAAAAACAACTCAAGAAAATACTATTCTCAGGGAGAAAACCGAGGATATTTCAGACATTCATGATCAGACAGATCTTGCAAGTGTACATATTCCACTCTTAAGATTACCGTCCTTACCGAATCTTGTATATAGTCTAGTAGTGATCTCTGCTTATTTCGATGCCTTATCATAACTCGTAGTTGAGTAAGTCGACTTTAAGAAAAAAGTTAGTTTCCAGGAAAAGGTAGGTTCCCAAGCTAGTAGAATGTAAAAACGAATTAAAGCAAGCATATGATACATAATTACAATTACTGAAAATAGTTTGCGGGCTAGAATAGTCTTGATACTAAGGTTTAATCCAGAATTAGTCAATACAAGTGATTGGTACTATACTGGTACATTTTCTACATTTTCTACATTTTAGGTATTTCAAGTTGAATAAGCACTAGGATTGAAGTGAACTAGAGAACTAGTGTACTGTAATCTCGTATGAGATAATTAACACTGTATATATTCTATTCCCAGAATATATCAACTTTAAGTATTCATGAACTACAGTGTATCCCAATAAACATGGTACGAGAATTTAGGATTTTTCAGAAGACCATATTTTGGAAATCTCGAGCTATGAATTAAAATGATTTCATGTAGTTTGTTTCAGATACCATGCAAGATTTTTAAAAGTTTTTAAAAACTATCCTATGAAATAATTGTAGTTATAAATTCAAAAATGTCTGTTCAGAAATCCACAGAACAATTTCATATGATGATGGTGTGATAGATTGTACAGGATTGCAAGTAAAATGTTCCTGTACACTTAACATGTACGATATAATGGTTAAGACTGTACATGATTGTAAGTAAACTTAAGCTGTGGTACACTATAAATGTACGATATTGTAGGTACGATTGTTACAGGATTGTTAGTAAACTAAATGTACATGTACGATGCAGTGGTCACGATTGTACAGGATTGCAAGTAAACTGTACCTGTACACTAAACATGAACGATATAGTAGTAACGATTGTACAAGATAGTAAGTAAACTGTAGCTGCAAGTGTACAGTATACATGAACGATTGTACAGGATTGTAAGTAAACTGTAGTTTAGTATTAACGATTGTAAAAGATAGTAAGTAAACTGTAGCTGTAAGTGTACACTATACATGTACGATATTGTAGGTACGATTGTACAGGATTGATAGTAAACTGTACCTGTACACTGGGATGTCTGTTGTCTCCCCCCAGTCTTCCACCCAGAATATCAATTCCTAAAATAGTCAAACTTATAATTTTAAATTTGTTCTGTTTGTTTGTTTGTTTTCAATAAACGTAAAAACGGCTGAACCGATCGAGTAAGACATTTTTGAGGGAACTCATGTAACCAGGAAAACCAATGTCGAAATTTGTCATTTCTAAAAATTCGCCAGTTTAACCAGTAAAAATTTGATAACTGTTCAAAATGGCGACTGTCAAAGTTTAAAGCTAAAAATGTTTATAGGAGAGGGAACCATTGAGATTATGTTCATTCAGGGGAATTTTTATTTTTTAAATTATCCTCCCTCGAACTTCAAACATTTTTATTAACTCCACATCTACAAGTTGTGTGAGCAAAAGGTTTTAACCCCTAAATAGAAAAATATGATTCTTGTAAGAAAATCCGTGATTTTCTTAGAAGAAAGAAAGAAAAAAGCTTTCAACTCAAAAAATTCAGAAATCATTAAAAATTTATTGAACCCTTAATTCCTGATCTAAAACTTTTAATCAAAATATTTTTTAGGAACATTTTTCTTAGAAGGGCTAGTACTAAGGGGTTCCTTTTCAATCTGAAGAGTGAAGACCTATGACTGAAAGGAATTAAAAAAATTAACTTCGATTGTAATTAGCGAACTTCTGAAAAATAGCTCAAGATCAATGATCATTGATCCATCATGTACGCGCAAGGGGGAGGGGAAATAAAACGAGGAAAGCAGGAAGGAAAAAAAAGATAATGGAAAGAAGGGGAAGTGGTTGAGGGGATGAAATGAGACAGGATATCGAGAAAAGAGGAAGGAGAAATATGGGTTGAGGGAAAGAATATGAGATTAGATGATGGAGTGGGGGGGGGGGGTGGAAGAAAATTATACCTGAGGGTTTAGACTCGGACCAGGCCGGAGTACCTTTCCCTTCAGTTCTTCCAGTCTTGTGACGTTCACGTTCACGGTTATTTGGAGACAAGGGATCCTGGTTCTAAATAAAAACACACAAAATAGATTATGAGATATAGTAGTAGGGGGTACAATTTCTGGTCACGTGATTTAAGTTTAAGATTTTCTAAATTTTACATATATGAACTTTCGCATGATTTTAACACAGTTTTATATCAATTTCTCGAGTCGCGATCAAGAGCTAATGTGATTAGCTTTCAGCCTATACCCCCTTTCATTTTTCCTTTACTGTCCCTTTAAGCCGCGTCTCAAATCCCCCCAAAAACGGGTTCAATTGAGCGCCGACTTAAATCTTGAACAATTGAATACAATTTTAAATGGAACCAACCATACTTGAGCCCCGGCTCAAATTCTTTAAATTGGCCTCAGGAAAATCTTCTAACAACATATCCCGGAAAGATAATTTTAACCCAGAACAAGAATTCTTTATTTATCATTATTTTCTAGTATTCTTTTTATTTTTGATCAATAGGATGGATCAATGAGAGCTTGTCATAAAAAAAAAACAAGTTTTAAGAACAATTTTTTTCTCCTTCACTTCTTTTAGTTTATTTTTCATAACACGGAGTCGGCTCCGTGGATCCGCATGCTTGTTAAGGATCCAATAAACTCAGATCCGGATAATAAGTAGAGGTACAAATCGTTTTTCTTCCGATTACTATTTCTACTTATGGGCATATTCAGGGAATTGTCCGG